TATCTGTCTTCAAGGCTACCCTAAACACATCTTATCTACTGCCTTTTCCCTGTCACTGTCTATCAGTCATGCTAAGGCCCTCACTTCCAAGCCTAAACAATCCTCACAACAGACTGACCCTCTCACTTACCCACCAGTCTCACAACATCAGTGCAAAATAACATTCTCCCCAGGAAACTTTTCCCCCTACAGGCTGACCCTGTTACCAGAATGATTTCATCTTCACTTTCCCTAGCGGCCTATAGACATGGCCAGAACCTCAAAGACGTCAAGAGTCAATTACATCCCATCTCTGAGTCCCACTTAGGCAAGTCTCGGTTCTCCTTGCAACTAAGGCCACATATTGGGGGAGTACGCCTGAGTTCAGTCCCCTGGCCACATTGCAATTACGGAATGGAGAAGGAACGAATCAAACCATAACCCGAACCCTAACCCTATGATGACAGCAGTGCACTGCACCCAACCCTAACCCTAACCCGAACCCTCAACCCCTAACCCTATGATGACAGCAGTGCACTGCACGCTGTCTATCGCCAACACACACTAATTACGTAATTTGTTTCGTTCCCTCTTGTCCACTCCGTAATTGCAATGTGGCCAGGGGACTGAACTCCGGCGTACTCCCCCAATATGTGGCCGTAGTTGCAAGGAGAGCCCAAGTCTCTTGTCGCAGACCTATACACAAGATTTGTCCCTATGTGGTTCGGGCGGAAAGTCTAGCATTCCCTAATGCCACACCGCACATACATGAGAGATTCTATTTTATGAGCTACAAAGTAATTTATGCCACTATCTGCAAAAGATATGGCATGAAGTAAATCGGTGAAATGGGAAACAACTAGCAGACAGGTTCACGAAACATCTTTCCCATGTACAGAATTGTGCCCTCAAGTCAGCGCTGATACATTTATTTTCTCAGGGCTAGCATGGTGTTTGCCGTAGTTCTACTTCTCATCTGGTTTGATAACTTTCATGGTATCTCTTTATTTTGAATCCAACCATATCACACAAGTCAGCCATTCACTCACCTAGACTAACCCATGATACTCTGATAAGTACATTTTGAATGGCCATTACTTCTTGGTTTCCGTTGCTCATCAATTCTGTTTAAGCCAAGTGGCACAAGAGGCTTCAGAAAGGACTTTCTATGCTTTCCTGCCCTGTGCAATCATCAGTTCACTTCCATGGTTCGTCTCCATGTTGTTTTTGAGCGCCCCTTCTTTCTTTTTCCTTCTGGTGTCCATGTGAGATGTCCATGTTTTGGCAGGTATATCAGGATTTATTCTCATAACGTGGCCAAGCCATTTCCATTTTCTCTTAATTATCATACTGTCTAGAGTTTCTTGGTTTGTGACTTATCGGCTGCTCAAACTAAGGTCAAATGTTTTCTGAAATAAACACACACAAAACAAAAACAAGGACAAACAAACTCTTTCTGTGTCACAAACAGCCACAACTGAACAGTGTAAAAGTCAACTGAGTACAAGAAATAACCTCACATGTGTACATGGTTTATAGTGCAACTGTACACTGTACAACAGTTTTGTGTACATGGTATAACTTAGCCACACAGTTCAAATATCAGCTGCAGAACAGACCCACATGTGTTCATTGTATAAGACAACAATATATTGTTCAAGGTATAACTGTAAATTTATAGAAAACTGCTACACATGTGTACAAGATACATCCATATGTTTGTACATGTGTACTAGAAATAACTACACAAATGAAAAAGCCATTACCTTACATGTACACTTCTGTGCAATGTACAAAACAATATCACATCTTTTTTACAGCAGATCTAGGATGGTTCCATTATATATGTACATATAAAACCCTGTCCTTTGTCAACACATATATACATTCTTAATGACACGGTGTACAGCTGTACAAACTTTCTTTGTCACATCTTTTCCTAACCAGTCTATTATCACAATATGACTATACTCAAAACTGGTCATCACAACTTAGCTACTCAAAACACAAGTCTATTCTTACAACAAGTCTACTATTACCACTAGACTGCTCTAAAAAAAGACTATTCTCATATCCAGTCTATTGTCACAGACTCTCCCTCTCTCACAGCCTGTCTATTCTCATTTCCATTTCTTAATTACTCACATGCCATTTATTTTCACATTGTGTCAATTCTTCCGTCTTGCTTTTAAACATCTTACCTAGTCTCACAGTCTGTCTAGTATCACAGTCTGTCTAGTCTCACGGTCTGTCTAGTCTCACAAAATGTATATTCTCACAACCTGTAGATTCTCACAAATTGTATTCTCCCAACTTGTCTAATCTCACAACCTGTACATTCTCACAACCTGTATATTCCCACAACTTGTCTGTTCTCACATTTGTCTATTTGCATAACCTGTTTATTCTCACAGCACATATATTCCCACAACTTGTGTGCTCTCACAACCTGTTTATTCTCACAGCCTATCTGTCCTCACAACTTGTATGCTCTCATAACCTATCTATTTTCACAGCCTGTTTGTTCACAAGCTGTCTATTCTTACTTGTAAATTATAATATCAGCATATTCTTACAGCCTGCATTTTCTAATAACCTGTCTTTTCTAACAACCTGTCTATTTACAATCTGCATATTCACACAGATTTGTTCTGAGCATACATAACACTTAAACATCAAAATGTCGATCACATGTATGCCTATGTTAGAGATCAAACTCTACAGAAAAACCATTCATTGCACTCAATATGTTGAAAGATGGCTTGTCAAATTCAACTGGGTCAACAGAACCCATATACGGAACATTTAACTGGGTCAACAGAACAAATGTACACAACATTCAACTGGGTCAACAGAACCCATGTACGGAACATTCAACTGGGTCAACAGAACCCATGTACGGAACATTAAACTGGGTCAACAGAACCCATGTACGGAACATTCAACTGGGTCAACAGAACCCATGTACGCAACATTCAACTGGGTAAACAGAACCCATGTACAGCACATGCATCAGGTTCAGACATCCCTGGATGTTTGGCACAATATAACATGGGGTGGAGTGGGGGGGGGGGGCGGGGACCAGAACTTTTTATTCTGGCAGCATGTACATGTAAAAATATGCTGTACCGGCATCTTCCTCAGCTCTCCAGTAATAGAGACAGAAACTGTGTGGTGAGTTTCAGAACTTTTGTTTAGACAATTTATGTTGACTACCGGCACCGGTTTTTTTTTTTTTTTGTTCTTAAAAAAAAAAAGCCCCATGGAAGAATGAAGTTGAAATAGGAAAGTCAGAAATAAAGATAGAGAGAGGTTATGGAGGAATAAAGGAAGAGGAAACAAGTAGAGTAAGTGACAAAGGAGAGGAGGAGAGACAGAAGAGATGGAAGACAAGTGAGTGGAGAAGTAATGGAGTGAGAATTAGAGATGAGAGTGGGCAGAAAGATCAACAGCTGAGAAGAAACAAGGAACTGTCTCAGATACTGTACAGAGAGATCAAGGGATGAAAAACAAAGAAAACAGAGGCTAGAGAAAAGAGAAAAGAAGGGAAACGGGAGGAAAAGAGGCTGGAGAAGGTGAGATATGAAACAGAGAAAAGAAGGGAAATGGAGAGGGTGTTGGGGGTGGAGAAGGTGAGAAATGAGACAGAAAAAAGAAGGGAAATGAAGAAAGGGGGACAGGCTGGAGAAGGTGAAATATGAGAAAAAAACGAAGAGAAAGAAACAGAGAGATCAAACGCAAAGACAGATCTCACAGAGACTGAAGCAGGAGACTATGAAAGGTCATGGACAACAAAAAGTGAAACAAGCCACGCTCACTCACACACTACATAAAAAGTTGTTCCAACGCTGACATAAATGAAGGCTCACACACACACACTACAGAAAAAGTTGTTCCAACGCTGACATAAATGAAGGCTCACACACACACACTACATAAAAAGTTGTTCCAACGCTGACATAAATGAAGGCTCACACACACACAACAGAAAAAGTTGTTCCAACGCTGACATAAATTAAGGCTCACACACACACACACACACTACATAAAAAGTTGTTCCAACGCTGACATAAATGAAGGCTCACACACACACACTACATAAAAAGTTGTTCCAACGCTGACATAAATGAAGGCTCACACACATACTACATAAAAAGTTGTTCCAACGCTGACATAAATGAAGGCTCACACACATACTACATAAAAAGTTGTTCCAACGCTGACATAAATGAAGGCTCACACACACACTACATAAAAAGTTGTTCCAACGCTGACATAAATGAAGGCTCACACACACACACTACATAAAAAGTTGTTCCAACGCTGACATAAATGAAGGCTCACACACACACACTACATAAGTTGTTCCAACGCTGACATAAATGAAGGCTCACACACACACACTACATAAAAAGTTGTTCCAACGCTGACATAAACGAAGGCTCACACACACACTACATAAAAAGTTGTTCCAACGCTGACATAAATGAAGGCTCACACACACACTACATAAAAAGTTGTTCCAACGCTGACATAAATGAAGGCTCACACACACACTACATAAAAAGTTGTTCCAACGCTGACATAAATGAAGGCTCACACACACACAACAGAAAAAGTTGTTCCAACGCTGACATAAATGAAGGCTCACACACACACACTACATAAAAAGTTGTTCCAACGCTGACATAAATGAAGGCTCACACACACACACTACATAAAAAGTTGTTCCAACGCTGACATAAATGAAGGCTCACACACACACACTACATAAAAAGTTGTTCCAACGCTGACATAAATGAAGGCTCACACACACACTACATAAAAAGTTGTTCCAACGCTGACATAAATGAAGGCACAGAAACACTGTGCTCCACGTCCAACGCTCTACAATAAAAATAAAAAACAGCAACCTCATGCTCCACCAGCAACACTAGCAACGGCATCAAACTGAGCCTAAAAAACAACAACATTTTGATCAGTGATTGACAATGTGTATCTAATGCTTCTACAAAGAGATCTTACAAGTGCGACGTCTTCTCTATAAATCTACTATGAGTTATTTTCGACTGCCCTCTCGGTGCTGTACTGCTGAGTTGCTCCGACTGGACCTCTTTTTGAAGATGGAAGTTTTGTTTCCTGCGGTCTGGTTGGTCAGCGTAGTGGATGTCATTCTCTGTTCTGGTCACCTTCATCTTGGCTGACCGATGCCCCACATGTCCGTTGGCTATTTCAGCTTTGTGCATGCTGGACACATAACCTTCTGACTTACTGACGGGTATATAGGTCACCGCTGGACCTCGGGGCAGTCTGGCTGTGGTGCTGGAACTATGGACCCCGTTAATGTTGTCGGAGGATTCTGAGAATCGGGTTGTGTGCTGTGACGACAGCTCATACGTGGAGGTATGTTTGGAAGTATGTGGCTGCTGTTTCTTGTGCGATGCAGGGTGCTGTGGGGGCTTGTGTTCTAGAGCATGGGCTTCAGTGTCATGTGACCTTGACCCTTTCATGATACTGCGATGGTAGTCACTGTCTGTGGGAGTGGTGGGGCTGCTGTGGTATGGGGATGTGCTGGTTGGCACAGTGGCATTGTGCATTAGAGTGCCTGGCCGAGGAGAACGTTCGTACACTACCGTGGGGCTGGGCTCAATGATTAAACTGCTTACATGTGGTTGTTGTTCCAGGGAAGATGAGGCGCTCCGTGAGCGTGCTTGTGTGGGTGATGTGGACACCTCAAAACCATGAAGCGGTGGCGAGCTGCTGTATCGAGATGTGGGTAATGATCGATTAGTGGGTGTTGTAGGTGTTGTCACACCTATACTGACATCATCAAAATCTTCTGACGTTGCTAAACCATGTGCTAGTGCTGACATACTTCCCATCTCAGAATTGTCTCCGAAAGATGTGCGGGAACTAGGAGCTGAAGTTTTGGCACTGTAATCGGTCAAGGACATCCGAGAATTAGTCGCTGTGTCATAATAAGAAGATTTGTCATCAAGTGAGTGCTGTGAGATCCGAGAATGTAATGACCTTGTATCTCCACGACTCCGTGACATTTCAGGTGTGCCGAGTAAATGTGCGCCCCCTGTCACACTTCCACTGGTGTTTTTCCTTCTCAAGTAGGCAGCCTTACCCCCTGGTCTTTGAATATTCTTGCGGAAATGTTCATCCACCGTTTCGTCAGTCCTGCGGCCTATCAACTCCTCGACGCTAGGCTGAATCTCTAGACCAAATGGAAGTGTAGGTTGTTCGTTGATTTTGCCCTTCGGTGGGATGGCCATTTTGGCTTTCTTCAGCTCCTCCATGCAAATCTGTAACTGTTCAATCACCACATCGTTGTCGTAGATGAAATTACTCTCCAGTCGGCTTTGGAAGAAAGTCAGAAGTTCATCCATCTGCATTTTCACTATGTATCCTGGGGAAACAACAACAAAGACAGTTTATTTTTAATTATCTTAAGGGGTGAGGGCCACTAATACAACAACAACTGCCTACTGACAAAACCTAACAAGCATACACTTATGGGACTGACCCGAGTGCCAGGATAACGGTTCTGAACTGACCTCAACTGACAATATACCTAGTTGGCTGAGGGGTATTTTCTTTGCTTCCCTAGAGAGCCCCGGTAACATACAGGTGGCTTATCCCATCAAGAAAACCAGGGCTGTCTGATTGAACTGTTACACTGCTGGGCTCTCACTGAGGGAAATCAGATTCCTTGTTGTTGTTCACCGGCTGTAAACTCAAGCAGAAAATTGTGGTTGTTCATCCACTTCTGGACTCTAGTCCTGTTCCAAAACCTACATGTTGCACGCACATCTGTTTCACACATTTGACTCATGTCTATGCAAACTGTTGGTTCCTTCCCTGTCAGCCAGATGCATTCTGACTTCCAAGGAAACTTCCAATTAGTCTATTCTTATGACTTGCTTGTTGGATAGGCCCATGGAATGAGTTCCCAGCAGCCACATGGGGAGAAAACCGGATTCAAACCCCTGGTGAGGTGGTGCAGTTTTCTGTCAGAGGCAAAAGCCCATTGCTGATCTGGAATGTGTGGCGACTGCGCTAGGCCCTGTGCCTGAAATCCTCAACCTAACAATGACCACCCAGGCCTACAGGGCTCTAAACTCTCAAATGTTGTACAACAAGGGCAATGAAAATTGTTTGACACAAAGAAACAAACAGAAGACGTACACAAAACAAGAGATGAACCATTAGAACAAATAAATAAACAATTAACATACACAGTATCAACAATTATAACACACTTTAAACATGCACAATGAGAACACATAAAAGATGAAAATTTACAACACACGCTAATTAACAATTAGAAAAAAGTATATAAAACCAGTTAAACCACACAAAAACTGACGGGGCGATTTCAGTCACAGACATGAGGGGAAGTTAAGGTCTTATGCTGTGTACAAGGAGATACTCTGTACCTTACATCGGATACCAGCAGGCTGGTTTTATGGATCCTCATGCAAGACTTCTGCCACACATCCTCATCGTGTGCCATGTCCATATCAGCCTGAACCAAACTGGCAGGGGATCTGCGAGCTGCACGCTGTTGATCTCTAAAGGATGCACGCTGTTGATCTCTAAAGGATGCACGCTGTTGATCTCTAAAGGATGCACGCTGTTGATCTCTAAAGGATGCAGCTCAACAAACTGAGGTGAGATTAGGCATTCATCTGCAGGACCTGGCAATTCTTTGGGTGAGCACAGCATCATCATGTGTCGGCTCTGCCTTTATGGAAGCCTCCTTGGATGCCAGGAAACTCTCATGTTCTGACCCGTCCTTCCCTGGAAGGTTGATCAGTCCGCACGTGACTGCCCTGGGCAGGTTCTCTATGGACAATACATGTAGGTAAAGGGATAAAGAGGACACCACACACATAAGGCTACGTCACATCCCATGAAACCAACCGGGAAGGCTAATCTGGTGAATAAGTGTCCAAAGAAGTCAGACTTGATGGTCGAAAGGTGCAGATATCGCAGCTATGATGTAAACGGGCACAATGCACATTAGGTTAATTGGACAAATGAAGATGAAGAAACAAATGAACACTCAGAACACAGAATAAATGACAAGAAAGCACGTACGTCTGTGCATCTTGATGATGCAGTAAGCCATGGCAATGAGGGCCTGCTCCCCGTCCAGCATGTGGATGTCCCACAGTCGCAGCGTCAGGTGGAAGGGGGTCTGTGGATGACAAGGACAAGCAATGATTTCAGTCCGTGCACACATCTAAAAACCTGTACTGAACCATCATCATCATGTGCTGTCCTGTTTTGCCATCACCAAAATCACAGATCATGTCAGTGCTGGCTAAGCAAGTGTTTCTCAACGATTTTAACACCAGTGGCCGACCAAAATGTGGAAAACTGTATCGCAGCTCATCTGACAGCTAACTAAACTAAACAGAACCAAAAACACAAATCTAGATGACACTTTGTTACATCTGATGTTATAAATTTTAAATCGCCCGTGTGGGTTCTGGGGCCCCATCGTGGAGAAAACAAGAATAGACCCTCTGCCTACCCAAAAGCATGTCGTATGAGTCGACTAATTGGGGAGCTTCCTTTGAAGTCGGAGTGCATCTGCCTGAGAGGCAAGGAACCAACAGTCTGCATTCAAGTGAATCAGATCTGTAAAACTGATGCACATACAACACTCAGGTTCTGGAGCAGGACTGCAGTTTAGAAGTGGATGAAAAACCAGAACTTTCCACCAGAGTGTACAGCTGGTGAATGCGAAGAAGAAGAAGAAGAAATTTAAAATATTCAGCCAACATGACATGTGATGGTGCTTCGAGGCTCGGAAATCTGATCGACATGGCTGCAGCACTAATTCTGACATTCTAGTACAAGATGCTCTGCAATAACATGCATTCAATTTCTCTGTTTTGGTCTGGATTACAGACATATGAAAAAAAAAAAAAAACATCAACATCAATCGGATAGCTCTGTAAGTCAGACATGGATATTCTTTCTCAACAGACAATGGATGCACTGTCTAGACAGAGACATAGACAGCAGAAGACAACTTGATCAGTTTTTCTTTGACATGACAATCAAATATGCATTATCTCGTCCAAGAAGGGATTATTTATCAAAAAAATTGCCTCTATTAGGATCCTCAATTTGAGGGAAATAATTATCAAAGTTCTCAGCCAACACATTTAAATGCTGACTACTTGTTTTGTTGAATATCACTTCTACTTATTTTTTAAATTTTGTTTTCAGATGATCATCCTACAGACAGCAATCGTAGCCAGCAGGTTGAAAAACAAATGGAAATGTCAAAGCCAGCAAAAGCAGAGATGTAAACCTTATTTCACAGCTCAATTCACTGTCTACCACCACATCCCTAGCCAGATCATACAGACATCCATGTTTCTCTACAGATCTCACATTCTACATCTGTTCTAGCATTCACTGTCTACCAGCACATGCCTGGCCAGATCATGCAGGCGTCCACGTCTCTCTACAGATCTCACATTTTACATCTGTTCTAGCATTCACTGTCTACCACCACATCCCTAGCCAGATCTTGCAGACATCCATGTTTCTCTACAGATCTCACATTCTGCATCTGTTCTAGCAATGGCATTCCTCAGTGCTCCTGTCCTAGACAGTGTTAAACATAACTTCTCTCCCTGTCTGTTAAACATAACTTCTCTCCTCGTCTGTTAAACATAACTTCTCTCCTCGTCTGTTAAACATAACTTCTCTCCTTGTCTGTTAAACATAACTTCTCTTCTCGTCTGTTAAACATAACTTCTCTCCTCGTCTGTTAAACATAACTTCTCTCCTCGTCTGTTAAACATAACTTCTCTTCTTGTCTGTTAAACATAACTTCTCTCCTCGTCTGTTAAACATAACTTCTCTCCTTGTCTGTTAAACATAACTTCTCTCCTCGTCTGTTAAACATAACTTCTCTCCTCGTCTGTTAAACATAACTTCTCTCCTCGTCTGTTAAACATAACTTCTCTCCTTGTCTGTTAAACATAACTTCTCTCCTCGTCTGTTAAACATAACTTCTCTCCTCGGATGTTAAACATAACTTCTCTCCTTGTCAGTTAAACATAATTTCTCTCCTCGTCTGTTTAAACATAACTTCTCTCCTTGTCTGTTAAACATAACTTCTCTCCTTGTCTGTTAAACATAACTTCTCTCCTCGTCTGTTAAATATAACTTCTCTCCTCGTCTGCCCCTGCCTCTTCTATCACTGATTGTTCGGTCTAACATTCTAATGTTCTCCAAAGCCTCTCTTCTCTTCACATGACCAGAGAACTAAGTTTTTCTTTCTTATAATCAAGTCAAGTCAACGACTTCTTTGACACAAAAGGCTAGACCCATATTTTTATGAACCTATTGGAACTGGACAGGTAGTAAACATCAAGCTGGCCGCCTTTATTTCCCAGGACCCTACCTGCTACTCATTTTAGGCTGGGTTGACCAAGGTAATTTTTGTATAGAAGAAAATACAACTGGTTAATTTGAACACAAGAAACCACAGCTCTCAAAGTCTGATTGCTGTCAGTAATGTTCTTTTCTCATGAGCCTAATTAATCAACCAATTAACAAGAACATTAACGCATCAGCAAACATCAATTAATCAACCAATTAACAAGAACATCAACGCATCAGCAAACATCAATTAATCAACCAATTAACAAGAACATCAACGCATCAGCAAACATCAATTAATCAACCAATTAACAAGAACATCAACGCATCAGCAAACATCAATTAATCAACCAATTAACAAGAACATCAACGCATCAGCAAACATCAATTAATCAACAAAATAACAAAAACCTCAACAACGTCAGTTAACTTCAGCAAAAATCAGTTAATCATTTGTGAAGATGAAATCACAAAAATAAGGTGGTACCAGATTTAATTAAACTAGCTACAAAAGTTAATAATTCAATTCATGCTCAGAGGAGCTGGATGGGTTGATCACAAAGAGCACAAATTTTGCTGCCATAAATAGATCCAATGTAATCACATTCCCAAAAAGTGAAGGGGATCAAACATAGAAAAAGTTACAATTTGTTGTCGTTGGTTAAAATTCCAACTTCAGTGCAGACGGGTCTCCTAAAAACTACCTCACACAAAAAGTTCAATAAACTATTTGAAAACTAGTGAAAAACTTGTCAGTCCCGGCTAAGTCTTGAAGCTCGTACAGAGATATTATATGAATAAGGTAGATGATGCAAGAAGCAAATTATGAAAGCCAATGCTGCACAGGCAATAATGCATAAGTACACACCATTCTGAACATAACTGGCCACCTGCCGTTTTTAGTCCAGTTCACATACAAAGCCAAGGTGGGGGCAGCAATTCACAACACAAAGATGGAGAGAAACACTCTAGGTGAATTCATAGGTCACTGTCACAACAAGGACTAAACTCAGTAGTTGGCCGATGGAACCTTTGGACTCCTGATCCAGAAATGGGGAATTTGCAGCAGCAAACCCTAGGTAGAAACAAATAACTTTTCAGAGCGTCAGTGGTCAACCAACTGTCTGCTATATTTGGACAGGAAGTTAAAAAATTAAAATTTAAGTTAAAGCTGAGATTGCTGACTTAACTGCACTGAGTTGTATACCATATGGCTCTGTCTCTCTTCACACTGACAGTTGAAAGAGTCACACAAAGCCAAAACTCCATAGCACCAGTGATGATCCCCATGGATATCTTTAAAAACTGTACTAGTGAACTGAATTATGCAATTCATGAAACAAACCCAAGATCTTCAGAGTGTGAGGCAAATGACTTGACCATTTGGCCAAGAAAACCCCCTACTGAAGACAGACAGACAGACAGACAGGAAGCCCTAGCTGATGGCGATGTCCCGCTGATCGATGTGGTCACTTACCCGGTCCAAGAAACACTGGAGAAACCACTTGATGGTATACAGTGACGGGTACATCTCATTCCTCTCCTGCAGAGACAGGGCAGATGTTGACAAGTTACCACACAACTTCATTAAGTCTTTATCCATTAACATAATAAATTAGGTCGAGATAAGAGATAAATGTTTATCAATGACCATACTTAGAAGGTATAGTTTGATTTAAATTTATTTAAAATACCATAGTGGACAGATGAAATGTTTATAAATACTAAATATCACATGGTTATTAATTACCACATTTAATGACGATACAGATTATTATAAAGAATTTGGCAACGTACAGACCAAATCATGAACTCTGACACAATCAGTGAAGAAAGAAATCAGAGGAATAGAACCTGGCCCCTGTGTGACATACAATGGCCCAACAGGACAATGAATGAATTAACCACATGCCTGATGTGCCCAGCATGTGATATTACTTTACTTCACATAAAGTCAAACTCCCTGTTGCCCCTAAATTTGTTTGGGATTGTACAGTTGCAGTTGTCGAACGAACGAATGAACAAATGAACAAACTTTATTTTTAAAGGGTAAGAATTGGGCATGCAAGCCCGTCTAACATTCTGCCCGTCGAGGTCTCCCTCCATCCTTACATCATTTCATTCACACATCAAGTAATCAACATGATCAAAAGCATCAAAACATTCAGTACAAGCACTGGAATGTCTACATTTATATCTACAATAAACCGTACTGGTTGTAATAAATCTAGGGAAAATGGGCGCTATTTCTAAATATTTTTCTTTTTGTCTTCTATGGGGGCATGTAATCTGTGCTCAGATAATATTCAAACAGTTTTCGATTGTACGTATAGGGACTAGTGGTATTTTTGATCTGTTGTGGAAGACAGTTCAACAGCTGAGCTGAGGAGTATGCTAAACTTGATTTGTATAGGTTTATCCTAGATTTAGGGATGTGTAATATGTTCAGGCGTTTACTGTACCTTCCATTATATTTAAACAACGGCCATAAGTAACATGGAGCCCGGCTTGGCTCCCATTGTGACGAGCGACAGCTTGAGCTACAGTGTGACGTGCTGTTAAGGCTGCGTGGTGATGTACGTCGTACCAAAGTGACTAGGGGCGTCGTAATGTAACAAAATGGCATCAACACTTAACATGCCACTGGCCAAGAGTGACACTACATGATGAATGCTGAAGCTTCCAAACGTAGCGGAACGAGAACTCTCTTTGAAAGTTCCATTTGTGTATTGACAAATAGCAAGGATCAACACAAGGAGAAAATATGCAAGTAATAATTCATACTCATTCAAGCACATCAACAAAAGCCCGCTCGTACATCCATGGACTGATATGTCCTCACGATAGGTCGCAGTCCGACCTTGAGATCCAGACAATCATCTTTGTATTCAGTTCCGCCGTCTGAATTAAGTAATGAAGGTATACCGGCTTACTGCCGAACAGTGTCAATATACCAGCTTTCTGCTGAGGACTATATTGGATTCCCGGGGTAAAACGTCCTCAAGGATCCAACTGTATATAACGTTTGCTTCCGTGGGATCCCGGGGTACAGCGTCCTCAAGGATCCACACGTCCGTCTCCTTCGGACTGTAAACATCAACTGCCTTTGACAACAATACCTTCCCAATGTTACGTATTGTTTTGACGTCTTATTTGCTCACTCAGTACCGGTGCGTTCTGGTGCACATCCGCACGCGACAAGCCTTTTGGGATCATATTTTGTGCATAAATTTTGCCTTATTGAAAAGTAGACGTTCACGAAGCGGTAGTAGCCTAAGAAATTTATATGTTTCGGAACTCACTGTCCCATGATTATTACTTATTAAGCGAATGGCGCACTTGTGCAGTGACGTGAGCCTCTTGATAAAAGAACTGGAACAGCCATCCCATATTGTAGAGCAATAGTCTATATTTGTCTGGATGTGAGAAATATAGAATATCTTTAGTTTTTTCATCAAGACAGTTTTTAATTTTTGCAAGCTGGTACACCTTTTTAGCTGTTTGCTTTACAAGTGCTTGTACGTGTGAGTTGAAGGTTAGATTTGCATCAATGATCAACCCCAGTGCTTTATGCTCCGTTACACTGTCCACTTGAGTCCTCCCAATGTAGAGTTGAAGCGTTCTCTGTGAATTTAGACTACATAGCTTTTGTCTCGTTGTTATTCGCATAGATTTTGTTTTATTAATGCAAACGGTTTGTACTGCTCCATTTGGCTACATTGGTTAGTTCTTGTTGTAATGACAACTTTAGTGCACTACATGTTCCAACATTTGCATAGATGGTACAGTCATCTGCGAATAAATCAAAGACGACGTCAAACATAAGGGAAGATCATTTATGTAAATACTGAATAACAGAGGGCCGAGAATCGAGCCCTGAGGCACCCCAGTATTTAAGGTAGTTGTCTGCGATAGGGATTTATTGTATGAGATTATTTGTTTTCTATATAAAAAAAAGGATTTTATTAATTGTAATAGCCTAGGATTAAATTTCATTGTTTCTAATTTTCTAAAAAATATTATGGTCTAACTTTGGCAATCTTAAATGCCGATGGGAAGTAGCTTTTAGCAAGACATTGGTTGTAGATAAAAGTCAAAGACTCGCAAATCACTGGTGCGGCACTGAGAAGGATCCTATTGCTGATCCCGTCTAAACCAAATGCATTGCTGCTTCTGAGGCTGTTGAGATGTGTAAGCACATCAGCAACTGACATGTGACGTATGTCAGAAGGAATATCTTCAGAGCATTCATTTTCGTAAAATGATGAAAGCAGGGATAAATCATTGAGATGAGGTAGGTAAATCACCAACCCTCCCTAGTTACCTCTTAGGACATGTATGGTTGGTTACAGTGTTCCTAATCTCTGCTTCCTTTGCAGGTTTTGCCGACACAAGGCCACAAGTTTATTATGAGTCTGTTACGTTAAACATACATATATTAGGGACTGTTTGTGTTTCATAACACTCAATTAGCATATGAATGAGGGAAACTTACCAGGTGTTTGCGAACTTTAGGCAAGAATTTGCGCAGGACATTGTCGTAGTGATCTTGAAACCTCATGAGTTTGGGGAAACCATGCATGAAAAAACCTGGCCAAGGAACAACAAAAATATTGACAAACACACACACAAAACAGTACAACTGTGTCAACACAAAGAAAAAAAATAATCTAGGGGTAATAAGTGAAAGTGAATAGTCTCAGCTGAAAGATCAATACTGAGAGATATGGAATTTATGTAAAGATTTTATGTGCAAAACCAGAAAGAAAGCTTCAGTGGTAACTTCCACTAAAGCAAAGCTTGCATTCAATCATTACTTCTATCAAAGTTTGGAGTCAACACTTACTTTCACCAAAGTATGGAGTCAACTATTACTTACAGTAAAGCTGGAGTCAATCATTACTCCCAACAAAGTCTGGAGTCAACTTATTCCCACCAAAGTTTGGAGTCAACTGTTACATCCAACAAAGTCTGGAGTAAATAAGTATTCCCAACAAAGTTTGGAGTAAATAAGTATTCCCAACAAAGTCTGGAGTAAATAAGTACTCCCACCAAAGTATGGAGTAAAGTATCCTTCCTAACAAAGTCTGGAGTCTATCACTACTCCCACCCAAGACAGGAGTCAATCATTACACTCACCAAAGTCTGGAGTCAACCGTTACTTCGTCAAATATGGGGTCAACCATTACTTCCATCAAAGTTTGGAGTCAACTATTACTTCCATCAAAGTTTGGAGTCAACCATTACTTCCATCAAAGTTTGGAGTCAACCATTACTTCCATCAAAGTTTGGAGTCAACCATTACTTCCATCAAAGTTTGGAGTCAGCCATTACTTCTGTCAAAGTCTGGAGTAAACCGTTACTTCCTTCAAATCTGGGGTCAACCATTATTTCCGTCAAAGTCTGGAGTCAAGTTTTACTTCCGTCAAAGTCTGGAGTCAATCGTTATTTCCACCTGATCTAAAATTCTATCTCTACTTCCATAAAAGTCTGGATTCAGACATTTCTTCCACTAAAATAACCATAAAGACGGGTAAACAACAACAAACATGTCAGAAAGAACAACCACATACAAGGTAAAACTCCTGCACATACCATGCATATTGTGTCTAGGGCTGATGAACAGTTGGGACAAGCCCCAGAAAGCATCCTGCAGACACAGGAAGAACATATTTCACCTTCTAAGTCACAGCTACACATGTCATGGTTTACATATCCCTGCTTCAAATGTCATAATTCTGTATGTCATAGTTTTACATATGGCAGCTACACACTGTTGTCACAGTCGAGGTTTCAACTTCATTGCAGTCAGATCACCCCATACTTGCTCTATTCCTGTGCCAGTGAAAATCAAATGAAATGTCCCTCACAGTCAAAGATGGCAGCCACACAAGTCATGGTTAAATATGTATTAGTTTACATATTGCAGCCACATAGGTCATGGTTCAATATGTAATAGTTTACATATTGCAGCCACACAGGTCATGGTTCTATATGTAATAGTTTAGATATTGCAGCCACACAGGTCATGGTTCTATATGTAATAGTTTACATATTGCAGCCACACAGGTCATGGTTCTATATGTAATAGTTTACACATTGCAGCCACACAGGTCATGGTTTTATATGTAATAGTTTACATATTGCAGCCACACAGGTCATGGTTCTATATGTAATAGTTTACATATTGCAGCCACACAGGTCATGGTTCTATATGTAATAGTTTACATATTGCAGCCACATATGTCATGGTTCTATATGTAATAGTTTACATATTGCAGCCACAAAGGTCATGGTTCTATATGTAATAGTTTAGATATTGCAGCCACACAGGTCATGGTTCTATATGTAATAGTTTACATATTGCAGCCACATAGGTCATGGTTCTATATGTAATAGTTTACAAATTGCAGCCACACAGGTCATGGTTCTAAATGTAATAGTTTACATATTGCAGCCACATATGTCATGGTTCTATATGTAATAGTTTGGATATTGCAGCCACATATGTCATGGTTCTATATGTAATAGTTTGGATATTGCAGCCACACAGGTCATGGTTCTAAATGTAATAGTTTACATATTGCAGCCACATATGTCATGGTTCTATATGTAATAGTTTGGATATTGCAGCCACACAGGTCATGGTTCTATATGTAATAGTTTACATATTGCAGCCACATAGGTCATGGTTCTATATGTAATAGTTTACATATTGCAGTCACATATGTCATGGTTCTAGATGTAATAGTTTACATATTGCAGCCACACAGGTCATGGTTCTAGATGTAATAGTTTACATATTGCAGCTACATATGTCATGGTTCTATATGTAATAGTTTGGATATTGCAGCCACACAGGTCATGGTTCAATATGTAATAGTTTGGATATTGCAGCCACACAGGTCATGGTTCTATATGTAATAGTTTACATATTGCAGCCACATAGGTCATGGTTCTATATGTAATAGTTTACATATTGCAGCCACATATGTCATGGTTCTATATGTAATAGTTTAGATATTGCAGCCACACAGGTCATGGTTATAGATGTAATAGTTTACATATTGCAGCCACATATGTCATGGTTCTATATGTCATAGTTTAATGTTGTATGTTCTGCATGTCATTAATCTATACACCATAGTTCAATATATGACAGCAATAGCATTGTTTACTATATGAGTAAATTTAACTGAAGAAACAATAAAAAATGTGAAGTTAAATGATAGAACTAAAAAATAAAATTGTGAACCTCTGGTTTAAAACAAAACTTATAAAACTGTAAATTAAATGGAAAATAAACAAAATGTAAAGAAACTACACAAATGGACTATGGAGGAGAAATTAACAAAATCATTAACTTTAGTTAAAAAACAAAATGTGAGCTTTAATTAAAAAACTAAAATGTTAAAATTTAGTGGGGATTGGGGGTGGGTGGAGTGGAGACCTTTATGTGGGGGAACTTGGGGAGAGAGCTGTAAAATGTGAACTTTAATGAGAAAAGGGTGAGCTTTAGCGAAACATCTGTACAAAAAATGTACCTGAACTCTAAAACAATGGCGAGATTAACCAGCAAGGATTACCTCTTCATTAAGATACATGAGGAGCAGGGCAGCCACCTCACTCATGCCCTGGCAGTATCCGATCTCGGTGTTGTAGACTGAGTAGGCAGCCAGTACATGGAACAAGGCTTGCTGCCTGCAATCAGATTATACAGCCCAATGTTAGTTACCAGATAACTTTCAATATGGAGAACTACACAAAATCCAATACATGGAACCATACAACTTTCAATACAAGGCAGTACAAAACTTTCAAAACAGGAAATTATACAAATTTTAATATGTGGAACTATTCACTTACAATAGAGGGAACTACACAAATTTAAATTTAGGGAACTACATAATTTGTAATAGAGAGAACTACACAACTTTAAGTACAGGGAACTATACAACTTCCAATACAGAGAACTTTACAATATTCAACAGAGAGAACTATACAACTTTTAATAGGGAACTGTACAACTTCCAACACAGCCGTGGGAATACTGAAGGAAGGGTTTGGGTTGCCAGGTACTGGTAGCACCTCTGGTCTTGGGGGTTCTGGTGGCCAGCTCTCGATTGTGGCGCCCAGTAGCTGCCAGCATACGACTGGTGGGGACCCTATTACAGCAGTCAACATACACATAACAAAGGGAAGGATATTTCCCACTCGAAATAGGCACTAGGAATGTACGTACTACGTTTAAAAACAAGAAAGCAATCAGACCTGAGAGGCTCACTGCTCTGAGTGGGAGAGAATTGGCCGTATACAATATTGCATTTGCAGCAGTGAGTGAAACAAGGCTGGGTGGCGAGAGACAACTGTGTGAAGAGGGTGTAGGCTACACATTCTTATTGAGTGGGAGAGAATTGGTCGTTTACAATATTGCATTTGCAGCAGTGAGTGAAACAAGGCTGGGTGGCGAGAGACAACTGTGTGAAGAGGGTGTAGGCTACACATTCTTATTGAGTGGGAGAAAAGTTGAAGAGAGGCGAGAAGCAGGAGTTGGCTTTGACATCAAAACAGCAATTGTAGGCAAGCTAGTGGGACCCCCCAAGGAAATGAATGACAAGACGATGAAGACATCCCTACATTATAGGAGAAGACATGCCACCATCATCAGCGCTTATGCACCAACAATAACAAACCCGGATGATGTGAAAGATAAGTTTTACGAAGATTTGCATGCAGTCATTGCAACAGTTTCACAAGCAGATAAGCGCTTCATTCTTGTTGACTTTAATGCTAGAGTTGGCTGTGATAACATTGTCTGGAATGGTACTACTGGAAAGTACGGAGTAGGTCGCTGCAACAGTAGTGGACTTTTCTCCTCCAGACCTGCACGGAGCATGATTTCCTCATCACTAACATAATTTTTCGATTACCTATCCACAACATGACTTCCTGGATGCATCCATGATCAAAGCAAAAGAAAGAGAAGAGGAAAAGAAGCTCCTTGCCCACAGACACTGTTCCTTGCCCTCATTGTCCTAGATCCTTCCGTGCCCGTACTGGGCTTATTAATCACCTCCGGACTCGGAGAACCCAACTAGTTTCATGGCTGATGAAAGAAAGAGTGGTCACCACCACTTGTGATAAACTAACAATGGCAATACTGAATGAAATCTCTGATACAACAAGTGTGAACATTAACAACAACACACAGCACAGCTACTAGTAACGCCGGCATATAGCTATGCTGGTTGGGAACAGTGCCTCAATCAGGGGTGTGCAATATGCCTCTCTAACAATCATCTCATTTAGGGGTGTGCAGCCACTGCCTCTCTAACAATCATCTCATTCAGGGGTATGCAGCTACTGTCTCCCTAACAATCATCTCATTCAGGGGTATGCAGCCACTGCCTCTCTAACAATCATCTCATTCAGGGGTATGCAGCCACTACCTCTCTAACAATCATCTCATTCAGGGGTGTGCAGCCACTGCCTAACAATCATCTCATTCAGGGTTATGCAGCCACTATCTCTCTAACAATCATCTCATTCAGGGTTATGCAGCCACTGTCTCTCTAACAATCATCTCATTTAGGGGTGTGTAGCCACTGCCTCTCTAACAATCATCTCATTTAGGGGTGTGTAGCCACTGCCTCTCTAACAATCATCTCATTCAGGGGTATGCAGCCACTGCCTCTCTAACATTAATCTCATTCAGGGTTATGCAGCCACTGTCTCTCTAACAATCATCTCATTTAGGGGTGTGTAGCAGCCACTGCCTCTCTAACAATCATCTCATTCAGTATGTAGCCACTGCCTCTCTAACAATCATCTCATTCAGGGGTATGCAGCCTCTGTCTCTCTAACAATCATTTCATTCAGTTGTGTGCAGCCACTGCCTCTCTAACAATCATCTCATTTAGGGGTGTGTAGCCACTGCCTCTAAAACAATAATCTCATTTAGGGGTGTGTAGCCACTGCCTCTCTAACAATCATCTCATTCAGGGGTATGTAGCCACTGCCTCTCTAACAATTATCTCATTTAGGGGTGTGTAGCCACTGCCTCTCTAACAATCATCTCATTCAGGGGTATGTAGCCACTGCCTCTCTAACAATCATCTCATTTAGGGGTGTGTAGCCACTGCCTCTCTAACAATCATCTCATTCAGGGGTGTGTAGCCACTGCCTCTCTAACAATCATCTCATTCAGGGGTATGTAGCCACTGCCTCTCTAACAATCATCTCATTCAGGGGTGTGTAGCCACTGCCTCTCTAACAATCATCTCATTTAGGGGTGTGTAGCCACTGCCTCTCTAACAATCATCTCATTCAGGGGTATGTAGCCACTGCCTCTCTAACAATCATCTCATTCAGGGGTATGTAGCCACTGCCTCTCTAACAATCATCTCATTTAGGGGTGTGTAGCCACTGCCTCTCTAACAATCATCTCATTCAGGGGTGTGCAGCCACTGCCTCTCTAACAATCATCTCATTCAGGGTTATGCAGCCACTGTCTCTAACATTCATCTCATTCAGGGTTATGCAGCCACTGACTCTCTAACAATCATTTCATTTAAAGGTTTGTGTAGCCACTGCCTCTCTAACAATCATCTCATTCAGGGGTATGTAGCCACTGCCTCTCTAACATTCATCTCATTCAGGGGTATGCATCCACTGCCTCTCTAACATTCATCTCATTCAGGGGTATGCAGCCACTGTCTCTCTAACATTCATCTCATTCAGGGTTATGAAGCCACTGTCTCTCTAACAATCATCTCATTATAGGTGACTCTTTCAGGGTTTGTTGAAATCAGATATGTAAGGATACAAGGTGCAGATATCACAGCATAGCTGTAAACATACCAACTGCTCTGTTAATGGTGAAAGCAAAACAAGGAAAAAAAAACAAAATGGAAGAATTGATTATGAGGTCTATACTACACAGGAATAACAGTATGATGATAAAACATATGTAGACGGCTAAGTTCTCACAACACTCACTTGACACCGTATCTTTCTCGGAACATGATGTGGTTTCTGTATGTTCGATTCACATCCAGATCAATCTGACGTATCGATGTAGATTTCGTACGTGCTCTGTTACGCATTTGCTGGACATAGACAAGACATAAAAAAAACTTTAATTTACGTTCCTTACAAGTGATACATTTCACAGAACACAATTGCTAGTAATGAAAACGTTTTAAAGTTTATGCTCCTGTTTATCACAGAGACAGTGCTGTGCAGAAGGAAGGAACTAAAAGGAAATCAACACAGGAAGTGCTCAAAAAACCAGTTTCTGGGACAAGTGACACGACTTTTGACACACAGAAGTATGTCTCTGTCTACCAAAGTAAATCTAATCAGAATTATGTTTTGGACAATTTTTGTTACCAGTGTCACACCTGGACCCTTACTCAAATTGATGAGTGAAAAATCATAACAGGGATGAGATGTCTTAGAAGAGTGGCTGCAGTAACATAAAGAGATGAGATGTCTTAGAAGAGTTGCTGGAGTAGCAAAAAGAGATGAGATGTCTTAGAAGAGTGGCTGCAGTAACATAAAGAGATGAGATGTCTTAGAAGAGTTGCTGGAGTAGCAAAAAGAGATGAGATGTCTTAGAAGAGTGGCTGCAGTAACATAAAGAGATGAGATGTCTTAGAAGAGTTGCTGGAGTAGCAAAAAGAGATGAGATGTCTTAGAAGAGTGGCTGCAGTAACATAAAGAGATGAGATGTCTTAGAAGAGTTGCTGGAGTAGCAAAAAGAGATGAGATGTCTTAGAAGAGTGGCTGCAGTAACATAAAGAGATGAGATGTCTTAGAAGAGTTGCTGGAGTAGCAAAAAGAGATGAGATGTCTTAGAAGAGTGGCTGCAGTAACATAAAGAGATGAGATGTCTTAGAAGAGTTGCTGGAGTAGCAAAAAGAGATGAGATGTCTTAGAAGAGTAGCTGCAGTAACATAAAGAGATGAGATGTCTTAGAAGAGTTGCTGGAGTAGCAAAAAGAGATGAGATGTCTTAGAAGAGTGGCTGCAGTAACATAAAGAGATGAGATGTCTTAGAAGAGTTGCTGGAGTAGCAAAAAGAGATGAGATGTCTTAGAAGAGTGGCTGCAGTAACATAAAGAGATGAGATGTCTTAGAAGAGTTGCTGGAGTAGCAAAAAGAGATGAGATGTCTTAGAAGAGTGGCTTCAGTAACATAACGAGATGAGATGTCTTAGAAGAGATGCTGGAGTAGCAAAAAGGATGAGATGTCTTAGAAGAGTGGCTGGAGTAACATAAAGAGATGAGATGTCTTAGAAGAGTTGCTGGAGTAGCAAAAAGAGATGAGATATCTTAGAAGAGTTGCTGGAGTAACATAAAGAGATGAGATGTCTTAGAAGAGTTGCTGGAGTAGCAAAAAGAGATGAGATGTCTTAGAAGAGTTGCTGGAGTAACATAAAGAGATGAGATGTCTTAGAAGAGTTGCTGGAGTAGCAAAAAGAGATCAGAATTAAAATGAAGAAATGAGAAGATTAGGCCTGAAATCAAGCATACAGATTATTAAAGAGGAACAGATGAGATGACAGGTCATCTGACAAGAATGCCCCAATACCATCTGCCACAGACAGTCACAGTGAAGAAATACAATAGCATAAAGTGAGGGGAGACCATGCAGAACATGGAATGATGGCATCAAGAACAGCCTCAAAAAAATTAAAACTAGCTTATACAACACACTGGAACAAGCATACAAAAGATCATTACATCTCCTCCCAAACTTCCATGAAGTAACTGGAGGAAGTGAAGAAGAAAAAGAAGAAAACGCCCAGCAAGAAGACAACTCTGATTTCAGCACAGAGTTAAACAAATGTGAGAGAACACCCGAGACCACTCACCTGGTATATACCCTCCTGCTCTGCCTTCACTTTTGGAATATTCAGCAACTTTGTCCAGACTTCGCCCCTCAGACAGTCAGGAATTCCTTTGTAAACCCGCCGTGTCAGCTGGGACAGAAACAGAATTATAAGCCAAATGACACCTGCTATAGTTCATGCATAGCTAAAAGACAATAGTTCAAGTTTAAACATAGCTAAAAGACAATAGTTAGAGTTTAAACATAGCTAAAAGACAATAGTTATAGTTTAAACATAGCTAAAAGACAATAGTTATAGTTTAAACATAGCTAAAAGACAATAGTTAAAGTTTAAACATAGCTAAAAGACAATAGTTATAGTTTAAACATAGCTAGCTAAAAGACAATCCTCTTCTTCTTATTATAGTTTACCAAACCTCACTTAGCTCTGACTCTCAGCATGAGCAACTAAGTAGTTCACACATGCTAGCTTCAGCTCTTCTTCTTATTAGTGTTTACCAGCTGTATATTATATATGTATATATATATATATATCAATCGCTAAATGTTGAAACCCACAAAGAGGATATATTGTAGCATGTCTCACCTTTTCTCCAGGATAGTATTTATCCCACGCCTTCAACATCTTCAGCCATTTTGTTGTCCTCTCTCTTTCCACTTGCTTGCTCTGCCAACAGACAACAGATCATTTATCAAACGTTTACATTAGCCCACACATGGGCAACTTGGCCAGCAGACATATAGGCAACTCAGCAAGACATATATTAGCTCACACACAGGCAACTTAAGAAGACATACATTAACCCACACATAGTAATAGTTACTGTGTTGATTTATAAACGTAAAAAGTCCCTTAATATGCCACTCATATATCGCACATACAAGGCTAGATTCATATTTTCATAGACCAATTGGAACTCGAGAGGTAATGTGGTCAACATCACACCGGCCGCCTTTACTTTCTAGAACATTACCTGGTACCCATTTAATGCTAAGTTGACTTGTGAACCAAGTCTTGTTTAAAAACAAAAAATCCGGCTCCATGCGGATCTGAATCAATGACTTTCGGATTCGCAGCTGAGTTTCCAGCCACTACACTATGGCAGCTCCCCCCTGTGTCCATTTGTACTCAAATAATATATGTGACCAAACCTCTGTCTCAAGTGGGGTGATCCTCTTGCAGATAAACATAGGGACAAAAACTGGCTTCTCCACTTCGCTCCTTACACCTGGTCCCTTGAACCATTCTTCACAACTGCTCCTAAAGTAAACACTGATAAGTGACCTATTCGACGATGACCTGAGCTCGCACCCCAGGTGTACACACTTGAGATAGCCAGACTGCTAACAATAAAAACCTAAAAGAAATTTTATTACAGGTGATATTTTGACTTGCCTACCTTTTCTTCTGCGGCATCCACACTCTTGGGCAAGGCTTTATCACTGACGGATGAGAGGTGGATACAGATGTTAATGAGATATAAAGTTACACATCACATTTTCGAGTAGCATGTTCATCAAACGTATCAGCTGAAAGTCAGGTTTAAAAATGATCTTCACATGTGTGCGAGTTTATCTGTATGTATTCAAGTACTTCTCTTAAGAAACATAAACTGTCAGGGAGAAGCAAGTAAGGACTGTGAATCTGCAACAATGGCCAGACTGCAAGAACAGCCAGTTAAAAGGGTGTGGCCAAACAAAAGCATGATGCAGGAAGCCAAACAGGAATTAAAAAACCAACACCAAATTGGTATTGTCAACCGCTACTCACTGCCAGATTTACTGAGTGGTTCCATGTGCAATGAAGATGACATGTTGCCTAACTAAGTGTGGTTCCATGTGCAATGAAGATGACATGTTGCCTAACTAAGTGTGGTTCCATGTGCAATCAAAATGACATGTTGCCTAACTAAGTGTGGTTCCATGTGCAATCAAAATGACATGTTCCCTAACTAAGTGTGGTTCCATGTGCAATGAAGATGACATGTTGCCTAACTAAGAGTGGTTCCATGTGCAATGAAGATGACATGTTGCCTAACTAACTAAGTGTGGTTCCATGTGCAATGAAGATGACATGTTGCCTAACTAACTAAGTGTGGTTCCATGTGCAATGAAGATGACATGTTGCCTAACTAAGTGTGGTTCCATGTGCAATGAAGATGACATGTTGCCTAACTAACTAAGTGTGGTTCCATGTGCAATGAAGATAACATGTTGCCAAACTAACTAAGTGTGGTTCCATGTGCAATGAAGATAACATGTTGCCAAACTAACTAAGTGTGGTTCCATGTGCAATGAAGATGACATGTTGCCTAACTAAGTGTGGTTCCGTGTGCAATGAAGATGACATGTTGCCTAACTAAGTGTGGTTCCATGTGCAATGAAGATGACATGTTGCCTAACTAAGTGTGGTTCCATGTGCAATGAAGATGACATGTTGCCTAACTAAGTGTGGTTCCATGTGCAATGAAGATGACATGCTGCCTAACTAAGTGTGGTTCCATGTGCAATGAAGATGACATGTTGCCTAACTAACTAAGTGTGGTTCCATGTGCAATGAAGATGACATGTTGCCTAACTAAGTGTGGTTCCATGTGCAATGAAGATGACATGTTGCCAAACTAACTAAGTGTGGTTCCATGTGCAATGAAGATAACATGTTGCCAAACTAACTAAGTGTGGTTCCATGTGCAATGAAGATGACATGTTGCCAAACTAACTAAGTGTGGTTCCATGTGCAATGAAGATGACATGTTGCCTAACTAAGTGTGGTTCCATGTGCAATGAAGATGACATGTTGCCTAACTAACTAAGTGTGGTTCCATGTGCAATGAAGATGACATGTTGCCGAACTAACTAAGTGTGGTTCCATGTGCAATGAAGATGACATGTTGCCTAACTAACTAAGTGTGGTTCCATGTGCAATGAAGATGACATGTTGCCTAACTAACTAAGTGTGGTTCCATGTGCAATGAAGATGACATGTTGCCAAACTAACTAAGTGTGGTTCCATGTGCAATGAAGATGACATGTTGCCTAACTAACTAAGAGTGGTTCCATGTGCAATGAAGATGACATGTTGCCAAACTAACTAAGTGTGGTTCCATGTGCAATGAAGATAACATGTTGCCAAACTAACTAAGTGTGGTTCCATGTGCAATGAAGATGACATGTTGCCTAAGTGTGGTTCCATGTGCAATCAAAATGACATGTTGCCTAACTAACTAAGTGTGGTTCCATGTGCAATGAAGATAACATGTTGCCTAACTAAGTGTGGTTCCATGTGCAATGAAGATAACATGTTGCCAAACTAACTAAGTGTGGTTCCATGTGCAATCAAAATGATATGTTGCCTAACTATGTGTGGTTCCATGTGCAATGAAGATGACATGTTGCCTAACTAAGTGTGGTTCCATGTGCAATGAAGATGACATGTTGCCTAAGTGTGGTTCCATGTGCAATCAAAATGACATGTTGCCTAACTAACTAAGTGTGGTTCCATGTGCAATGAAGATGACATGTTGCCTAACTAAGTGTGGTTCCATGTGCAATATAAGAGAGGCAAGTGCAACAACCAGACAAAGAAAACTTACTGAATGAAGCCATATCTGTCGGTGACATGGTAGACCTCAAACGCTGGATCCTCCCAGGGATCTATCTGCGCTCCCTCTTCCCTGCCCTGTGACAGAAAACAACAAATGACAAACTGTATTTCTAAATGTGAGATTCTCATCATCATTATGTGCCATGTAGAGAAGTATTGCCATTCTTGATTAGCACATGATCACTATGTCAGGTCTCTTCTTATCGTTCACCTGCCGTAAACTGTGGCAGACAGTTATGGTTGTTTGTCCACTTCAGGACTAATGACCATTAGTTTTGAGTGCATTTAAAATGCAGATATATAGCTTATTTGTGTGCAGACTTTTGGTTCCTCACAGGAAAATGTACCTCGACTTTAAAAGAAAAACCCCTAATTAGTTACCCTTTGTAGCTCAGTGATTCTGGTCATAAGCATGAGGGAAAGTTAAGGCCATTGTGATGTGTATAAGGAGTGACTCACCTCAAGCAACAGTCAGCTCTGGGTTGGGTTTAGGGAACCTGATGCAAGACACCTGCCACATGTCACTGTCAGGCACCAAATAACATTAACAGAGCTTGCAGGGGACCTTGGAGCTGATACCCCCCCCCCACCCCCCCCCCTCCCCCCAGAGATGCAGTGCCCAGAAATCTACTGGCTCTCATCAGCCCACCCCCCGCCCTGCCCCGTGATAACAGTAAACACACATCAGAACTCTCTTGCAACAGGAGTATTGGCCGCTGGCTGAACACACCACAAAGGGACAACTCTCTGTTAAAACTTCTCTCAAGTAAAAGATCCACCGAACTGCTGAGACTTAGCCCTAGATCAAGACACTTGCTCACAGCAAGATAAACATCTCCTGGGAGCGGTATCTCATGGTACATTCCTGTCTCCATAAATCCTTGTGGATCAACAACGGTGTCACCACAGCGCTAGGTAAACAACAATCTGCTACTGTCAGCTGAAACATCTCACATGTTAGTCAGACACATGTCCTATGGCAATACAGCAATGTCTCAAATGTCCTACCATTAAAAATCCTACTAAGTGGCAGAAAATTCAAATGTCCACTACCAATGGTGCCACTCATTGGCCCCACTCACTGGTCCCAGTGTCAGGACTCAACAAAGGAAGTCTTGCCTGATGCATGCTTTTTCAACACTGTCCTGACAAGCGTCCAGTTGTAACATTACAGGTGTCTAATTTGCGGAAGAAGAATGTACCTATTTGTGTGGTCATCCATGTCCTGGACCTGTAGGCTGCTCCCTGCTGATTTCTGCAAGGTAAAGCCCATGACGAGTGGGAAGCTTCAAATGCGATTGTGAGGTTAAGCAGACACATGCAGGATATGACAATTCCTTGGAAGAGCCAAGGACCAGAGAGCCATTTGTCGGCTTTGCATTGATGGAAGCCTCCTTGGATAGCAGGGAATGCCCATGATCTATCCCTGCCTTCCCTTAAGGGCGGACCAGTCTGTACACAGTCACCCTGGACAGGTTCTCAAGAGGTAACGCCTGCAGACAAGGGGACAAAGAGAATGCCACACAAATAAAGCAACAACGTGTCCCTGTCCGAAGAAACTATCCGGGAAATTAACCCGGTCAACAAATGCTTCATGAAGTCGGATGTGACGGCCGAAAGGTACAAAAATAGCAGCTCTGCTGAAAAGAGGCAATAATAAATTACATCACTTTAACGAAAATAAGAAGTAGTCACTTTAAATGACATACTTGTTAGGGGCCACAGTGGGTCTATTACCTCCCCCCCCCCCCCCCCCCCCCCCATGAGGTCCCAGAACCCACATAAGGAACCATGTCAGGTTCAGGTTACTGTTCTCATGAAGTTTTGTGATGCATCCAACACATCTATGTATCTCTCTATCTTTCTTCTACCCTCTTACCATCAATTTTACCTATATCAAGTAACTATACAGTCAAGCTGATACCTCTTGATGATATGCCTACAAAATCTTGACTGTTATTTCATTTCTTTAATTAATCAAAGTTGACTTCCGTCTGTTTTGCAACGAGTGTCCCATTTGTGTGTGTGTGGTGTAGCCCACGCGTGTAATTCTTTGCCTTAAATGTAGACAGGTTACGTCTCTGCGGTGGCTATCTGTCTGGTTTACAACTCAAGAACAGTCATGTGTAAAATGATGTTTTACCTGTAGATATAAGTTAACACTGCACTTGTAGAACAGATATACACATTATAAATGAAATGTGTATATATATATATATATATATATATATATATATATATATATATATATATATATATTTAAATTATATCCTTATAAATGTTTTTAAAAAATAAGTCTAAAAACAATTAAACCTCAAGAACAGAAATGGGAAAGTGGGTGAAAGAGAGGCAAAGAGACTGAGAGATGGATAGACAGCTGCAAAAGAAAGAAGAGAAGGCTAGGAGGACAAGATAAACAAGAAAAGAGACATAGAGTAGTAAAAGAAAGAGTGATGTATATGCAAAGGGGAGCTTACCAAATCATACTTGGCAACAATGTCTGCCCGTTCTTTAGTTGCCCTCTGAATTTCATCATATTCTGCATCTGGAGTCAGGTCATATTTGTATTATATTTGAAGTGTCATATCATAGGCATTATCAATTATTATGTATTTCATATGTAGAATCATCTCACATACGTAAACAATGATCTGGTGTCAGATCAGGGTATATGATGCTAGACTATATTTCACAACTTATAATCAACAATGCACAGATTCAACTCCCTGTGTGGGTTCTACACAACTGTCAACAAGCATGTCCTAACAGTCGATCACTTAGGGGTGTCCTTCTATGAAAGCATCAGCCTTAGAGAAGAGGAACAATATTCTGCAAACAAGCGAGCCAGATCTGTGAAATGGAAGTGCAAACAAAACTCAAATTCTGGAACGTACTAAAGCCCAGAAGTGGATGAATAACCAGAATCTTCCACCGGAGTTTACAGCTGGTGAACACAAAGAAGAAGAAGAAGAAGAAGAAGAAGAAGAAGAAGAAGGAAAAGGAGGAGGGGGGAGGAGGATGAGCAGGAGGGGGGAGGAAGAAAAAAGATAGAAAAAATTCTAGTCTAAACTAGTGAATGATGACGAATTTCTGATGCTAACGTGACTGTGACCTGCGAGTAGAGCCTGGTGAAGCATGTCTATATGGTCTTTAAAGTCAAGATAAGAGACATTATAATCTCAAGGAGACTGTTGGTACAGGTTCATTGAGACGGCTGCTGCATCTAAGGACTGAGTATGCATGGGAATGTCTAATGTGCAGTAATTGTGATGATAATAATTATTAACATAATTATTATCTTTTATGGCTTGGCCTCTGTACAGTAGGTGCTCATCTGCCGAGACAGTTTTTAAAAGCACTAAACGGTAGCTCCAGTGGCAACTTTCCAACCCTTTAACAACAACAAAATACTGCACTTGTGAACCAAAGTCCACAACCTGACCTAACTTACACCTTCAAAAGGCAAACAGCTTTTCATTTCATGAAATTTCAGAGATTCACAAATGGGATATTTTATCCAATCCGTGGGAGTGGAAGACAAGGGCGCAGCATCACAAGGTTATTTTATAAGAATCCGTGTTTTGGCAGTCTTCTTCTTCTTCTTCTTCTGTTCTCTGCTCCTGGAATGCCTTGTGGCTGAAAGAGATCTCTGTAATGGGCCTTTCTGTTTGCTTCGTATAGATTACTTTTCAGTGTCTCAGATATTTATGCAGTCTATCTTCTGTGTGGTCAACCTCTGGCTCTGTTACTGTATAACACTGCTCTCTGTAGAGCCCTGTCTGATGCCAATCTTGTTACATGGCTAAACCATTTGGAAGTCACAGACATTTTTGGGGTGGTTACATGCTCACAACTTCATGCTAGTCCCTATCGTTTTCAATCCCTGAAGGCTTTTGCTGCAAGTGCCTAAAGGGAAAAACTGAGACTTCCTTCCTCCTCCTTCTTCTTCATTCAACAGTATTGATTTTGGACATAACTGCACTGTGCTAGTTCACACAGCCTTGATACTTGCACATTTCAGTCAGCATATCTGATTAATTATGGTATTTTTTTATCAGCCTGGCCTTCTTGGAAAGTGTGAAATGTTGTTTGCTGGTATATCTCCATCTTTCAATCTGCCGGTCTCCCGATGTGCTATGGGGAGGCTTGGTATATCTCCATCTTTCAATCTGCCGGTCTCCCACTGTGCTATGGGGAGGCTAGGATAAGAATCACAGCCCACGACTTAAAGACAGGGATGGCATGCTTTCTCTCCACACAGAACACAGTATGGGTTGTATTGTAGAGACCATGTGTTGCCCATGCAGCATGATTCCTCTCTCAGCCTGATTTATTAACCCCAAAAGAAAGGTCACATTAACATGTCTGGAAGAAAGCAAACAGCAATAGCTGCCAGATTAGAACATCTGTTCTCTGTTCCCTATTTAGAGCCTACAGGGGGAAATAACCACTACAAATATTAAAAGTGCATTCCCTTCACGGTGAAACAAAAGTAGCCACTGGAGAGTTTTAAGAAGTCTGACCAAATGTAAAATGTGAGAGAACATATGATGCGATGTTTGGGATGTATGGGAAATAGTTTATCACCAATTATGTGTCTGGGTTAGGAACAGTGAAGGCGAAAAGGCTGTGATAAGGTGGGAGGATAACAGTGAAGAGGCTGAGATGAGGTGCGAGTGTGACACTGAAGAGGCTGTGATGAGGTGAGCATGTGAAAGTAAGGAGCCTGAAATGAGGTGAGAGGACAAAAGTGAAGAGACAGAGATGAGGTGAGAGGACAAAAATGAAGAGACTGAGATGAGGTGAGAGGACAAAAGTGAAGAGACAGAGATGAGGTGAGAGGACAAAAGTGAAGAGACAGAGATGAGGTGAGAGGACAAAAGTGAAGAGGCTGAGATGAGGTGAGAGGACAAAAGTGAAGAGACAGAGATGAGGTGAGAGGACAAAAGTGAAGAGGCTGAGATGAGGTGAGAGGACAAAAGTGAAGAGACAGAGATGAGGTGAGAGGACAAAAGTGAAGAGGCTGAGATGAGGTGAGAGGACAAAAGTGAAGAGGCTGAGATGAGAGGACAAAGGTGAAGAGGCTGAGATGAGGTGAGAGGACAAAAGTGAAGAGGCTGAGATGAGGTGAGAGGACAAAAGTGAAGAGGCTGAGATGAGAGGACAAAAGTGAAGAGGCTGAGATGAGGTGAGAGGACAAAAGTGAAGAGGCTGAGATGAGAGGACAAAAGTGAAGAGGCTGAGATGAGAGGACAAAAGTGAAGAGGCTGGGATAAGATGAGAGAACAAAAGTAAAGAGGCTGAGATGACAGGACAAAAGTGAAGAGGCTGAGATGAGAGGACAAAAGTGAAGAATTTGAGATGAGGTGAGAGGACAAAAGTGAAGAGGCTGAGATGAGGTGAGAGGACAAAAGTGAAGAGGCTGGGATGAGAGGACAAAAGTGAAGAGGCTGGGATAAGATGAGAGAACAAAAGTGAAGAGGCTGGGATTAGATGAAAGGACAAAAGTGAAGAGGCTGGAATGAGGTAAGAGGACAAAAGTGAAGAGGCTGAGATAAGGTAAGAGGACAAAAGTGAAGAGGCTGGGATGAGATGAGAGAACAAAAGTGAAGAGGCTGGGATGAGATGAGAGAACAAAAGTGAAGAGGCTGGGATGAGATGAGAGGACAAAAGTGAAGAGTCTGAGATGAGATGAGAGAACAAAAGTGAAGAGGCTGAGATGAGATGAGAGAACAAAAGTGAAGAGGCTGGGATGAGATGAGAGGACAAAAGTGAAGAGGCTTAGATGAGGTGAGAGGACAAAAGTAATGAGACTGAGATGAGATGAGAGAACAAAAGTGAAGAGTCTGAGATGAGAGGACAAAAATGAAGAGGCTGAGATGAGAGGACAAAAATGAAGAGGCTGAGATGAGATGAGAGAACAAAAGTGAAGAGTCTGAGATGAGAGGACAAAAGTGAAGAGGCTTAGATGAGAGGACAAAAGTGAAGAGGCTGAGATGAGAGGACAAAAATGAAGAGGCTGAGATGAGAGGACAAAAGTGAAGAGGCTGAGATGAGAGGACAAAAGTGAAGAGGCTGAGATGAGAGGACAAAAGTGAAGAGGCTTAGATGAGAGGACAAAAGTGAAGAGGCTGAGATGAGACGACAAAAGTGAAGAGGCTGAGATGAGAGGACAAAAGTGAAGAGGCTGAGATGAGATGAGAGAACAAAAGTGAAGAGTCTGAGATGAGAGGACAAAAGTGAAGAGGCTTAGATGAGGTGAGAGGACAAAAGTGAAGAGGCTGAGATGAGAGGCTGACATACTCATGGCTGCTGGAGACTGGCAAGCTATTTGATGACTTCCCTCATGCATACAAGAGAGTCCATTCTGTGGGACCTGTAAGAGAACAAGTCATCAATTTATAAACTGAATGTAAGAAAAAAAGAGAGAAGGTTACATAGAGTGGGGTGCACAGGAAGACATAATGAGACAGAAACCAAAAAGCAGAGAAAGTGTTTAAAAAAAAAAAAAAGAATAGCAGAGCTAGGCAAGGTGTCAGACAGAAAGAAAGGCATAGAGAGAAACTCACAATGGGAAGAAACCAAAAGGAGGATGGCCATAGCATTGCAAAGAATATAAACAGAAAAGAAAAGACAAAGAAGAGAAGAAATACTGACATTTTAAAAGATCTTTACATCAAGGAAGATTGGCTAATAAACAGCATCCTGTCTTGAAAGCTAAAATATTTTGTCATATCAAGCGCCGTGGCGGACTGGAAACAATAACAGCAGAGGGCATGGTACCAGGAAGGAGGATCAAGGGACCAACCAACATGAAGATGAGCACAGGATATAGATAAGTGACTCCTTGAATATGAAAGTACACCAGGTGGGAGAGTTGGCGAGAGAAAGTGTTTCTTTCAGGCAGACCGTGATGAGGGCAATGTTCTACAAAGAACCTGCTACATGATCATGCACTGGGGACATTTCCACACATTTTTTGTCTCCTTCCTCTCTAGCCAACAAAAAGGTGAACAATGAGGGGTCTGGATGTGTTGGGCTGAAAGGCTCAGACATTGCAGCAGCCTAGAAATAAACCGCACCACGACAACTCCACCAGCTGTTTAAGGATGAATGCAGCAGAAGAAATACAAGAAAAAAGAAGACTGCTATGCTGTTATGTGTGTGGACAAACAACAAGATTAGACACTAACATATTTACAAAAAAGACAACACAGACAACACTCCGGGATTGCTGAAAGACACGACCCAGTAATTTAAAGAACCACCTTACAGAAGCAAATCTGCAACAAGAGCAAATCTAAGAAATAAAGTTCAGCTGAATAAAACAGCTACAAAGACTAGCTATTTTAATGTGTACTGACAACCAATAACATTAGACTATGCACTGTGTGTGAACATACAAGACAACAATTAATATATTGCAATGACTGAGGACCACATAAAAGGGAAACAAATGTAGTGAGAAAACAAGTAAGTCTCAAAGAAACCCTAATATTATACTGAAATGATTGCACAAGACAGAAAACAAGGGGAAAATATATT